GTGAAAATAGTGCTCCTGTGCTGAATAGCAGTAAAATGCATTCCATGCATGCCATTATCTAAAAAGATATTATTGCTGTATATATTTTAACATTCCTTTATGCAAAATCATGATCATATTATTTTGTTCTCTTTTAGCATTCAAATACATAAATGTAGATTACAGCTTCCATAATACCCCCTCTTTCTTTCTTTTTCTTTCTTTCTTTCTTTCTTTCTTTCTTTCTTTCTTTCTTTCTTTCTTTCTTTCTTTCTTTCTCTCTCTCTCTCTTTTTCTCTCTCTCTCTTTCTCTTTCTCTCTCTCTCACACACACACATACAAAATCAAACATATGAAAAGGCTTGAAATCTGATTTTATGGATTTGTAACAAATTGGAAAAATCAAGCAATTAGGGAACAAGAATAGGAGATATAGAAAACAAAATGGAGTAAAAATAAGTATATGTGTAGAAATTTCATTACTATTGAAGATCAATAGTAATGAAGGTTGTTCAGACTGTGGTGGCGCAACAGCTTCTGTGGTACCTGGATGAAGCTGTCTATCTAGATCCACTCCAATCCGGCTTCAGGCCTGGGCACAGCACGGAAATGGCATTGGTCGCATTGGTGGATTATCTCTGGAGGGCTCAGGATATGAGTTGTTCCTCTATCCTAGTCCTGTTAGATCTCTCAGCAGCTTTTGATACCATCGACCATGGTATCATGCTGCACCGGTTGGAGGGGTTGGGGATGGGGGGCACCATTTTACAGTGGTTCTCCTCCTATCTCTTGGACCAGTCGCAGTCGGTGTTGGCAGGAGGGCAGAGGTTGACCCCGAGGTGCCTTGTCTGTGGGGTGCCGCAGGGATCGGTCCTCTCACCCCTCCTGTTCAACATTTATGTGAAGCCGCTGAGTGAGATCATCCATGGTTTTGGGGTGGAGTTCCATCAGTACGCTGACAATACTCAGCTGTACATCTCCACCCCAGGCCATCCCAATGATGCCCTTGAAGTGATGTCCTGGTGCCTGGAGCCCGTGTAGATGGGGAGAAATAGGCTCCGACTCAACCCTTCCAAGACCAAGTGGCTGTAGCTGCCGGCGTGCTGATATAGCCAGCTGGTGCCATCGCCGGCTATTGGGGGAGAGGTACTGGCCCCCACAGAGAGGGCTCGCAACTTGGGTGTCCTCCTGGATGCACGGCTGTCTTTAGAAGAGCATATGATGGCCATGGCCAGGGGGGCTTTTTATCTGGTTTGCCTGATTTGCCAGTTGCATCCCTTTCTGGATCGGGACTCCTTACAGCATGGTCACTCAGGCACTCGTTACTTCTCGCCTTGACTACTGTAATGCTCTCTACATGGGGCTCCCCTTGAGGAGCATCCGGAAGCTCCAACTGGTGCAGAATGCGACCACATGAGGGATTATGGGAGTGATGGGGTGCTCCCATGTGACACCTCTCCTGCACGAGCTGCATTGGCTCCCGGTGGTCTTCCGGGTGCACTTCAAGGTGTTGGTTACCATCTTTAAAGCGCTCCATGGCTTAGGGCCTGGATACTTATGGGACCGTCTTCTGCCACTGATAGCGTCCCACCGGCCAGTACACTCCCACAGAGAGGGACTCCTCAGGGTGCCGTCGGCCAGGCAATGTTGGCCCCCAGAGGGAGGGCCTTCTCTGTGGCAGCACCTGTCCTTTGGAACAACCTGCCCCCGGAGATACGTAGGATCTCCATTCTTTTCGCCATGGCCTTAAAACTTTTTTATTTCATCAAGCTGGGCTGGCTTGACCCCCCCCCCAGACATTTTTAATTGTTAATTGATTTTAGATGGGTGTTTTAAATTTTATATTGGGCCAAAACTTGTTTAATTCTTTTAAAATTAATCTTAAATTTTGTATGTGATGTTTTTAGTCTTGGCTGTTCACCGCCCTGAGTCCAGTAGGAGAAGGGCGGTATAAAAATCTAATAAAATAAATAAATAAAAGAATGGTCTCTACCGCAGATCATTTCATATGCATTTTAGCCCAGTACTTTCCCAGCAGTCCTTTTGAATAAACATTTTGCATTCTTCTCTTTGGGAATAAATATTCATTCTGTGAAATCAGGTGTGTGGGAGCGGGATGGGGGGGGTGGATTAAAAAAATAACAATTATATACACCTCATAGGAAGAAAGCTCAACTCCAGGGCCAAAGGACCTTAAGAATTTCTAAATGGATTTTTGATACTTGATTTAGTTGAGAAGATGAGAGAGAAGAGTTATGAGAATCTTTTAAAACTCATTAAATCAGAATTTAAACTGAAGCAACCATAAGAAATTTTCCATTTGCTTCTGTATCCAGTGTGACAGAATATAATTTGTTCTGCTGAACTCAACCTCTTCTCATGGTTAGTTCACATTTTCCTCTAGCTAATTGGGAAACTCAGATCAATGAGCTGAAATTAAATCAGCTGAATAAGAATCACCAGCTGCAACCTTCTAAGTGTCTGTCTCTTTATATATTACATGCTATATAAAAAGTTATATGCCATATTCAACTTGGGACTGCCAAAATGAACAGGCAGTTCAGTCTTACGGTCTGAGTCTCTCTATATTTAGTTGGAAGTAAACCCTACTGTTTTGCAATGAGACATACTTTTGAGTAAGCTTTAAAACCTTTAGTCCACCATCCAAGGGTATCATTATCTGAAAATGACTATATTTATACCTCAGTTATAGCTAGAAATCTATCTACCATTTAATCCCTCGCAAGATATAGTAACAATAGAAAAGATAAAAATGCTGAAAAAAAAAGAAGATAAAAATTACTGCTGTGGTGGCAGCTACAACCTGCCAAGAAAAGTTTTCTTTGCCAAAATCTAACTTGCAATTTTTTAGAAGTTCTTTCTCTGTTTTTATACATTATTCTCAAAATGTTTGAGAATGTATTAACAAATTACTTTATTGTTTCCTAAGGTATTGCTGTTATACAGATTTCTATCATCTGTAGTCTCCTTAAGTGAAACAAACAACAAACAAATAGTAAACAAACAAACAAGGCAATTATTACATAAACAACTCTAATTGGTGTGCACAGATAAAATACTATTATAATATAAAAACAGCAAGGATATGTAATAAGAATAAAACAAAAAATGTTAGTCAACTATAGCCATCAGTAATAATTGGCATTATATCACAGGTTCACCTAACCCCCTTGGGGGATGTGTGTGTGTTTGAGTTGCAAGCAAAAGCCTGTTTAAAGTCAATGTAACTATTAAAGCAAAGGTTTAATATTTAGAAACTTGCATAACTATTTGCATTGCAATATTCTGGATCAACTGCATATTCTGGATTTTTTCAAGAGTAGTCCCATATACAGTGCATTGTCGGGGCAATATGCTGAGTCTGTAAACTGCTTGGAGAGGGCTGTAAAGCACTGTAAAGTGGTGCATAAGTCTAAGTGCTATTGCTATTATAGTTACACAAATAAGAGGCGACCAAAGCATATGCTTCTGATCTAGGAAGGGGCAAAATTGCAGCACAATCTAAAGTTGTACAAATGCCTTCTTAGTCTCTGTCCATCTTGGTCACTTTTAGCATGAGGTGAAGTATAGAAACACCTCTGAATCAGGGGTGGGTTTCAAAACCCGTTGCTACCGGTTCATTCAGGGTAGCTGGCTGGAGCCTCCTGCCGCCACCACCACTGGTTCGCCCAATCCAGGATGAACCTGTAGCAAGCCACCACTGCTCTGAATTGTATACTGTATCTAATTTTGTTGTACCATCCTATTCCCAAGGGTAAGGATCACTGGATCCTTATGAAAATTCTTAATCCTCTATCATTGACTGACCTGGATTTACTGGATTGTGTAGATATGAAACAGGAGTACTCTCATGCCTACTCTACCACAACGGAAAAGAAAGAAGACAACCAGCACAATATTGTTCCCCCAACTTCTAGTCTACTCCAGAAGGAACTCATGAGCAATAGCATTAAAAGCCACTGTGAGAACAAGAATAGCAATGCTGGATGTGCTATTTCTATTCTGCATTATCAACAAGCACAATCAGTTCTATTTGACCACTGTTCCAGGACTTGAAACCTGACTGGAAGGATTCAGTTAATCTATTTTCCTCTGACACCCTTTCTAAGATATCATGGCATTTTTTTTTGGGGGGGGGGTGTCAAATTAATGGAAGTGCTGGAAAACAGAAAGTTTTAAGGACAGATAACTGTAAAAATATAGGAAATTAACACATAAACAAATATAAGAAATGGAAGACCTCAAAAAATTATCTTTTAAAAAAAAATGAAGATGAAATTCTATTTTATCTGATTAAGTATTGGGAAGACAGAGAAAAAGAGACAGGGAGAAGGGACAGAGAGAGAGAGAGAGATTTCCACACAACACTAAGTCATAGCAATCCTTTCATTGCGTTGTTTAATGTTACTCCTATGATTGTTACAATGATGTAAGATTGTTAACATTCAAAATTCTGTATTTGTTGGTTTTCTATTATTTTACTCCATTTTGGATTTATTTCTGATAAAAAAATAAATAAGCCCAAAACAAGCACATCATCTTATATTTTAAAGCAGTATAGAAAGCTAAACACACTTTTGATAGGGCTGTTAATGGGCACCTGACAGAACGACAAAAACAACAAAATCCTTGAAAGTTTTCAGAACAAATACATCCAAAATAATAATAAATATAAACTGAGGGTTGTAAACAAATGTACCAGCAAAAATCTGTCTTCGATGAATTTAATTGTGAAAATGTATATATAACATTATATAAAATAATGAAGAAAAAGATCAGCATCTACTTTTGTATTTTTCAGAAGTATATTTACTTGGTTTTCTTTTGGGGATTTCCAAACGCTTTCATTAGAGAAAGCAAGGCAACCATTTGTTTTAAAACAATAGTGTATCCATTGAATAAGTTTGAGTATGTGACACATCCTGTCTGCCGCCCATTCAGCTTGGAGCCAGACGTTGCTTCTCCATCAGTGATGCAGACTATTATCCTCATTATTTATGCTCTCTTGCCAGGTAGCAGAAATCAATATCTGATCATCTGAAGCCCTTTTGTACTTTGCTTGGAATGGATGCCTTTTGGAGGGGAAATCTAATAACAAATAAATAAAAATACAATCTCATGTAAGTTCTGGTCTGAAAGATTTATGAATGCTTGTGGAAATTGTTTGAGCTTCCTGAGTTTGTCAACACTCATTCAAATCTCAAACTGAAATCAGAGTTAATAGAAGATACAGTTTATCATGTAGCTATCCATCTGGAAGCATTTCTTTGCAAAAACAAATGTAGTCAGATATTTTTAAGAATATATTTTTGAAAAGTGGCATTGGAGAGGTTAAGATTTTTTATTTGTTTGATGGTTTATTGTAGTATTATAAGTAAAATGTCATTGAAAATAGTGTTGATTTAATAAAATATTTTAAAATACCAAGTCTGTTTTTGGTATAATAATAATACCAAAGGTAGATAATAAGGTAGACTTTTTAGAAAAGGAAATGTGAATGTGATAACAATAGGATAATAAGAAGAAATATTAATTTAATTGTAATAATATGCAAACATATCTAGGGATAATAATACAGCCTCAAATTCTCCATTCTTTTTCATAAGCAGTTTGTTGTGGAAATCACTATATTGAATATTCTGTATTAATTTGAAAATAAACCCCATAAATCCCTCAAAATCATTAGAAAATTCCTTATCAATTCAATATGGTTTAATAGCAGAAACTAATAGCACAGAGTCACTTATGGTAAGTAAAAAGAATGGACAATATAAAATAATAATGAAGCTTTAATCCAATCTCTCCTTAGAAGGAGATCTCTAAAAAAAAATAACCATAAATTTTAATTTTTGTTTTTTACATGTTAATGAAATGTTATACATTAATGTTGTTCCTGACAAGACAAGAACATCAGCCATTATATATATGTTATCCACAGTAGTGGTCTATAACAATGATAAAGTAAAATAAATCAAGTATCATTTTATTTTTTCACTATTACAGCCTTAATTTTAAAATATCAGATCATGATTGCCTAATTTATTCCAGTTTAACTGGATTAAACTACTCTTCCTTAGAATATGGTACAAACGCCAACTAAATTGTGACATTTTGAATCTCTAGTTTAGAAAAAAAAAAACTCAGATATGTAATATCTAGCAAATAATTAAGCTAGCAGTTAGCATTTTCCAGGACTGGAATGCAAAATATAAACATACAACTGTCACGTAGAACTGACTAGGCATAATGTGTGTACATTGGGTTTACTATGGAAAACATGAGACAATACCAAATTTAGATCTAAAAGCCTGTAAAATAGAGAATCAGCTTTAATGTTGAGTGTACCAATGGCTGCAAAAGAGGCCCTATTCAGCTATTAGAATAAAGAGTCAGTTCTAGCCATGCCTTGTGAAATTATAGGAAATCTTTAACAAACCTCAAGCTATCAAAGGGTTACACTCAGCTAGTGCCTTTTCCTCTCAAATTCTCTTGTATGCTAAACTTTATTTCATTATAGTTGTTTCCTTGTGAATTTTTTTCATTTCTATTCTCTGATTTAGAAACACTATATTATGGGTAGTTGTGTTTCTGACTCTATGGAATACAGTTTGGTGCACTGAATATGTAGATTATGACAGGGATCTGCACCAGATAATTTAAGCATTGTCAGCAGGCTTTTAAATACCTTTCACACTTGGGGATGAGAAAAGATTTGTATCTATATAGGTAATATCATTAGCCAAATTATGAATGTGATGAATATCCCACTGGAAATGTATATAGAGAACAGCATGGCATAAGGCATTAACACAGAGAACAAAACAGCATATATAATTTGTCACTGGGACTCTAGAGCTAGTCATATTCTGAAAAGCAAATGTCAAATTATTCAATAAATATTGTTACTTAAATGTTTTTGGAGAGTAATAGAGAAATAGGTCAATTAATTCTCTTGTGAATCTTTTTCGTATTCATCTTCATCTGTTCATTAGCATTCATAATAAAATTGAATAAAGCAAAGGATAAATCATTTAATAAAATATTTTAATAAAATGGTAAGTGAATAATTCATGAGTAATTTGTGGCTACTCTCTTCAGGTTTATGAGTGATATTTGAAAATCTAATATAAATCTTGACTCTTTTCTAAGATATAGTTCAAACTTTGAAGAAAGATGATAGATTCCAAACATTGTGACCATATGAATAATTTAATTGTCAGGCAAGGTTGTTTTTTGGAATGCTGGCTGCCATTTACTATATCCCCTAGTAGAAAAGGTTATTGTGCTTTTTCTCCTTTTTCAAAACAAATGGAAGAACATTTGTAATTTTTGACATTAAAACAAGCAACTTGGCAGCCACCTGGCCCATTGGCCCATCCTGCTATATAGAGATTTGGTAGTAGAGACACAGTTGCTGAAGGACATAATGCTGGTCTGACTAAAAATTGGAGACACAAAGAATGAAGGAGATAAAAGTTTGTACAGAGTGAATCAAGTTTCTGGAAAGAAAAATTGAAGAGAGAACAATTGTCAGTTTCTGGTGGAGAAGGGAGAAGAAAGGATGACTTTCCTGGAAGAAAGGAAACCCACTGAACTAGAAGTACTAATAATGAAACTAAAGCTAAAATAGTAAATGAAAAGGCAAAGACAATGGAAAAGATAAAAACAAGTTGAGAGAAGACAACATGGCTAGATAATATAGAAGACCCAAACTGAATTCATGGTCCTCAAGTCATATATTCAAATAGGAAATAAAAAAGGGTTGTACAGAGTGTTCTCCATGACTATAATGTTCAATAAAATGCAATACCACTACAGTTCGGCTTGTTGGAGAGAGACTTGGTGAGTCATCTGGAGGAGTCAAAGAGGGAATTAATCTGGAATCCCTATGTAGTACAAGGGAGCAAAGTTTCATTCCCTTGAATACTTTATCTAGTCTTACCTAGATGCAAACCATTAGTCTGAGATTTATTGCTTGAGGATTAAAATATCTAATTAAACTCTTCACATGTAGATCTGGTGGTTTGCATTTGACACTGTTTTTCTTGATCTGCCATAAACTGTAACAGTATATGTTGTGCTTTTAAAATTATTACATATACAAATGCTGAATACATTTCTATAAATGCTGGTTATAGCTCATTAAATATTCTGGCTTTTTGCTACAAAAACTTACATGCTCTTTTAGGCTATTTTAAATACAGATTTCCTTTCACTGTAGCAGAAAATAACTATCTGAAATATAGTGCCTTAAGCTAATATATAAAGTCCATTCTACAATGAAATACAACATCCTGAAAGCTTGCTATTTTTGATTTAAAGGAAGACAACTATCTTTTGAAATATTTATTACCTGAGTTAGCATCATAACAATACCCTTGGTTTTAAAGTGATGAACAGATCTGTAGAATGAACCTGCATGAACACAGCCATAAAACACTTTTGGCAAAGTCCAATTTATAATAGCATTATGATTCCATCAATGTGATTTCAGTACTCTCATTTATGGTATATTTAAAATCTAGCAGTAATACTTTGAGCTCTAGCTTACACACACACACACACACACACACACACACACACACAACACACTGTTCTGTGAACGTAAGTATATTAAAAATGTATAGCTTTAAGCATTCTGCAATTACCCTTTTGTATTTTTGTTCTACTCTGTTTCCTCTGACCTTTTCTCAGAATTTTAACAAATCTGCTCCCATGGCATACTTCTAACACTAATCAATGTTTTGCAGTTTCTTGAAACAAAACAGTGAGAAAAGAGCTTTATTCTTAATTAAAAATATTCTGTCTAATAAATAAATTATAATATTTATCAAACATTCTCCCTGTTCCTCAACAATATCGGATTAATTATATATCACAATTCAGCTTACTTTTTTGACCGAGGAATCTCCTCCACAACTTGTGTAATATGTAATGAGAAAAAGAAATTAAAGGGAAAAAAAGAAAGAAAGAAAAAGAAATATAGCTATACCTGGTTTACAACAATACTATTGAGCCATATTTTTACATGCTTGCAAACCATTTTTGTTTCTATCATAGCTACATACTATTATGTACATTGTTTTTTAAATTTGTCTTAATAACTTCATCAGCTCCATATAACCAGATTGTCAGTTTTCTTTCTCTCTTCAACTCATTCAATATTAATTCATAAATTTATTTAGTGATTTTCATTCTATTCGTGTGACAGTAATTAAACTACTATTATTTTACTGGACTTCATTTTTATATTGAAGAAAGTTATGTAAGTCTGCAACTTCTAAAGTTGTAAAATTTGGAGATTTGGGATATATACTGGGTAGTTGTGAAAAATGTGAAAATATGGATGTTGTAGAGCCGGAAGCTGAGGGGAAAAAAATAAGCAAATGATTAAAAGCTAGAATTTTCCAGAAGGGGCTGGTTATAATGTAAGCAACCTGATATTAAATACATACATAGCTATCCATCTTGTAAGACGGAACTCTGGATGGCTGACAATAAGAATAAAACACCTGACCCATAATTTCCAATCTGTCAAACCATAAAATCCTCGGGCTCTAACCTCACCATTTCACAGTGCCTAAGGGGAAAGCCAACACTTTACTGCTCTCTAGAAGACTAAAAGGTTGTGAGCCTACAGATCCAAAGGGAAAGGAGTGTTTCCTAGGGCAGGGGCTCCTGCAGTGTATCTGTGGGTCTCTGAGTTTAAATAAAACATATCCTTGACACTATAGTATTTGTGAAAGCAATATCAGATGGGAATTGGAGGTACCTAGGGAGATGCACATAAAAAAAGCCATTTTATCTTCTGCATTAAAGTCTTGCATGAAAACCCATGCATTAATCTAAAACAATTATTGTTTCTTGTGCAATCTTTTATATATGAAAAAAATATACCGTTAGTGGAACTCTTGCTGTAGACTGCATAAATTCTAATGCTTATTCAGCTTCAGAAAATAATTACGAACCAAACTGTTAAAGAGGGTCTTTATATTATAGATATCACTTATTTTTATTGCTTTTTGATTGGTTGTTTTCTGATTTTTATTCATGCCTCAATTAGAATTATTTATATTGTGGGCATTTTA